GAAGCTCTTTGGAGGTGGTATAGATAGAGCTTGGACAAGCCAGCATGTGTGTCCACACGTGTGTCCAAGGCTCATTATGATGCAGGATGGAGCCCACAGTGGAAAGAGAATCAGATCAGATGGCCTGTTGTCCAAGGGTAGATGTTCCCATTTGGCCAGCACTGAGTTCAGAGGGCTCGAACAGGTCTAAATTCAAATCTGTCTTCCAGGTTGTTTTGAAGTTCTATTTGTCAGGATAGAAGGATAAAATGCACGTTGTGTAACAGTTTATGAGCTGGATTTATTACTTCTAAATATTTTGGCCTATAATATTGAGCCTCCATCTATACTCTTGCCCTAGGGTCCATAAATGTTAGAGATGGGTCTATTCTTTGTGGAGATAGACAGATGTTAATTAATTAAACACAGAAAGAAATGTAAAATTAAACCATAGTGCTAAGAAAAAACAATATACTGTTTGGATCTCTCCTAAAGTGCTTTGCTTACTCTCCATTCCCAGGGTTCTCCTTGCAGCTTGGGGTCTCCAGTTTCCTTTGAGCCCTGCAAAGTCCTTCTCTTACTTTCAGAGAACCCAGAACACTGACTAAAATATTCCACATTACTCTTGCCCCTTCTGAACTTGGAGCTCTAGGGAAATGAACTTCAGGAGGAAAAAAGGAGGCAGACCAAAACTGTTCATCTCTTCCAGAATTGTTTCCTGCTACTTATTAGGTCCAAAACAGGTGCTCCATCACCCCCACTGCCATAGTGGATTTCATCTTTGTACCCACTCCAGGTGCTCCACAGCTGACCGAGCCTAGCAGGTGATTTCACCTCTTTGTTAAGATATCAGTGTGTCTCACATCTCTACGGCTTCCAGCTGTCTAAACTCAGCCTAAGTCTGTTTCTTCTCACTTGGTCTTCAGCAGCAGCAGAGAAACCTTCTCTGACTAATTGGGGAAAAGGTAACAAATTCCTCCACTTGTCTCTCTTGAATAGGCACCCCACACAGTAGCTGCTTTTAAGCATGCATCTCTTTCTTGTCCCCGATATTACTGTGATTCACCTGCGACTGACTGTCTCTGTGTCCTTGATCTCTATCAGCCTCTGTGATGCCTGGGTTAGATTGTGAAACTCCCAGAGGGGGCAGGGCCACATCTGCCCTGTGTCTCCAGACTTTGCTCAGCAGAGCAGCAGGCATAGGTAGGCACTTGATACAGACTTTTGATGATGGAAACAGAAACAGCCCTCTGTGTCTAGGGCACCGTGAGTGGGCAAGAAGCAATCTACTACCACAGACAGACCACACTACAGAAGCTCCTGCCAACCTGGGAGCTGGGGCTCACTTTTCCTTTTAAACAAGGTGTTGTGGGGAGGAGGCATTCTCTTACCTCCGAAATAACAACAGTCTGATAGAACTGCTCTAACCATGTTGACCAATCTGATACTCAGAATAACCTGATGAATTGGGGGCTATCATTATCCCAGTTTTACAAATGAGAAAACTGAGGCACAGAGAAGCTATGCAAATTGTTCAGGCCTCCAACTGGGGCCATCTGGGCTTGGAGACCTCAGCTCACCCACCATGGCACACTGTCCCTTGAAGTGAACTAGTGCAACTTCAACCAGAAATGGAGAATGAAGGCTCTTGTCTCATACTTTCATGAATCCTTGACTAACTCCTGACCCACCTGAAAGACTGGCTGAAGGGAGGAGAGTGGCTACTCAGCCAGCTGTCTAGCATGGAGCCACATTGGCCCTAAAGCATTTGTTCACACCCCATTCCTCTCCCTCCTCCTGTCCTCTCTTCTGTTTCTCAAACATGCTAAGGTTCTTCACACTTGGGCCTTTGAATCAGCTATCGCCTCCACCTGGAAGCTCTTCTCCAGATTGATGTATGCATCACTGGATCCTTCTCATCACTTAGGTGTCAGCCCAGACGGCACATTCTTAGGGAGGCTGTTCCCAATCACTCTGCGTAACGTAGCTGCTTCTTTTCCAAGCCCTCCCTTTTATCCTTGTCTAACTCATTTTCCTGTTTTGCCCTCACCACGGCACTGAATGCCATCTGAAATCACTTTATATATCACTGTAATTATCTACTAGCTTGCTTGGCTACTTCTGCATCTTCACTAGAATGTTAGCTTCAGGAGAGCAGAGATCTCAACTGTTTTGTTCACTCCTGGGAACTCAGGGTCTGGAACAATATCTGGCATGCTGTAGGCACCCAGTAAACATTGGCTAAATGAACACATGAATGAATGAATACTAAGTCCTTTATAGATAGGTGCAGATGTAGAACTAGCCGGATCCTTCAGTTGCCTCTCACCTCATACATTCCAAGCCATCGGCAGGTAGAGAACAAATTTTTCATTTCTGGCAATCTTTTAACCCCCAGAGCAGTGGCAAATGACTGGGGAGCTGCTCAGTTCCTTTGTTTGGGCAGAGGAAAGACCAAGACATTCAGCTATTGAGATTGCAGACGGTCTGTGCTCCCTTCAGGGCCACGTGTGGACAATTGCTGGACAGCTCCCCCCAAACAGAAAATAGAATACTGAGTCTCAGTTTTCCCTTTCTGTCTGTTTGTCTCTCTCCCTCTCTTCCTTCTCTAGAGAGTTTTCCCCATCTCCTCCCCTTTGTCTCCCTTCCTCATTAAAATTTTTTGAAGAAAAACAAGCAAAAAGCGGGAAAACGTGTTCACATCTACACACGCTACTTGTATTACTATTATTACACATTGCTATTAAAATCTCCTGGCTCCTGCACAAATAAAACAAGCTCTCAAAATACAATGATCATATGCAGGAAGTGCTTGATTTGATCCAGTCTTAATATCGACATGACCCCCTATTCCTCCCACATGACAACAGAGCCTATTCCTTTATTGGTGCTGTTGCTGTTTTTTTTTTAGTTCCATGCTCTATTTGTGACACATCATAAAAAGAATGAACAAGAAAGGAAAGCTCCTAACCTCCAACCAGACCCTGTATCGTGTGAGGGTATTTCACAATCTTCCTGATGATCCCTTTCTTTTCCTTTTTTTTTTTTAGCAAAATGCTGCTTTTCCATCATCAAGATGCATGCCATTATATATTAATCCCTTCCAAGGCATTTTCAGGCTCACTATTTTTTGGATCCTCTCAACACGCAGAGAAGGAAGTGAGGGGAGGAAAAAGGTTCCTCTAAGTCACAGGAGTTGGAGAAGGGGTTCAAGGGCATAAAGACATTTGAAGAAGTCCACACAGCAGTAAACATCAAGCAGAACAGGCTCCAGCCCCTGCTGCTTCCTAGAGACAAGGGTGTTCTTGCCAGAAGTCGTAATCCCAGTGGCCCTCGTAACATGCACACCTGCACCCGCCTAAATGGGAGGAGAAAGAAGTAGCTTAAGAAGTTAGGAAGCTAAGTGAGTCTTTCGGGAAAGATGAGGTTCCTGACTGGGGCAGATGCTGGCCAGGACCATCCCAAAGAGAGGCATCATCACCCTTGTTCTCAGCCATGCCCCTCTACCTTGTGTCTGTGCTGGAGGCCCAGCCCTGAAAGTGGAGGGGAGGGCTGAAAGAAGGGGCCTGAGCAGGCACCCTGGACCTTCTCCCCTAGCAAGAGTCCTCGGCTCTGGACAGCACTCTAGTTGAGACTGCAGGCAGTTCTAGTCACAAGAAGGAGGAACAGAGCCCCCAGCCTCTCAGAGACATTTGTTCACACTGAGATCAACATCACTTTCTTTCATAATGCCCAGGCCATGGCCCCAGTCATCATCTGTCCTTGAAATGCTCTGCCTGTTCAGAGCAAAGATAAAATGAATGAAAATGTCAGGGATGCCTGCCTCTCACAAAGCAAGCCCTCAACAAGAACCAGAGCTATTCAGGAGCACCGGTATGTCATCCTACTGCACCATCACCGGTCCAAGGAACACACAGAGATCTCCCCTCCACTTCTGGGAAACTAGTGAGGAAGTGGCTGATGTGACCACATAACCCTGCCCAGGGTGCCACTGAGTGTTCCTTCTCTGTTATCACTAACTCGATCAGATTTTCAGGTGAACGCTTCCTACCTGGGATTCTGTAAAAAGTGTTGCCACAATTCGTGATTCTAGAAGAATGTGCACATGCTATGCAGCACTGCAGCCACTAGATTGAAAGTGGAGCTGGAGGGAATTGGGTGAGTATGTCTATGAAAATCTGAATGAGTCAGGTAGGGAGAACCTTCAACTTGGGAAGACTCTGATCCATAAAGTACTTGGCATCCTCTATCCTGGATGGGGAGAGTTTAAGGGACATCCTAAGTTGATATGCTTCAGGCCTGAGAAGAGGAATAGAGAAGACAAGATCCCCAACTTCCTTCTTCATATCCCTTAAATTCACTCTCATCCAACTTATTAACCTGCTTTCAACCTGGTAAAAACTTGAGTCGGCCAAAAAGCATCTTAGCAAACTGTATAGTCTCCTTGAACCTACAATCCCTCTCCGTTTCCTCCTCGGTGACTAAGACACACTGCTGAGGGTGTCAATATAATATGGCAGGGGGTAGTCTCAAAGTGAAGGAAAGGCACAGGCTTGCAGAGGACACGATCTCTGCACACTTTCTGAGAGGGAAGAAATTTGAATCTGGGACTGAAAATGGGTTAGGGAAATGGCACTAAACAATAAATCAGATACAAGGATATCTTGGCAACAAGCATGAATGTAACACCAAGTTTGTTTATTTCATCACTTCTGACTTCTGAATCTTCTACTCTGAGAATACTTATGGAATTTTGGGGTGGAATTGAACATATTCCAATTGAGCATTGGAGGGAAAATGCAAAAGTAGGGTACAACTGAGCTACCAAACAGGCTCAACCAGACACCAGACACATTTTGAACAAACTTAACTGCATGAAATGAACATCACTGAGGAGCCCGTAAAACTTTAGTCCTTACGCTAGAGACAGTACAATGGCTTACCAGGGCAAGCAAGCAAGTAGCAGTCTGCAAGACCTGGAGATACTAGAAGGAAGCAGGAAAAAGGAAAAAAGGTCTCACCTGTTCTGGACCCTGGAAGCAGATACGGCAGAGAGGGGTCCTCATGCCACTGTCCAGGCTGCTGCCCAGTGAGTAGCGATCCTCAGCCTTCCCCTTACAGAAGTCATCTGAGGAGGCACTGCTGAGCAGTGAGGCAGGTGGCTCTGTGGCTGGGCCACCCCAGTCATCTTCCACAGAAGGTGGCAAAGGTGGTGGAGGTGGCAGAGGAGGAGTCTCCCTGCCCACCTCTTCTCGGGGGCCCCTCCAGCCTGCCCACCCCCCGGCACCCAGAGCCGGAAGGGTGTTGTTGTTGGCTGCCAAACCAGGGAGCTGGGGTTCGCCGTGCATGGGCAGGGGCGCTGGAGGGGGGCGCCGCAGGAAGAAAACCTTCAGGTCATTGAAGAGCATGCGGCAGCGGCACTTGAGGAGACCCTGGTGGCGCAACATCTGGGGAGCTGGGGTGCACAATCCACAGCAGTACCAGGCACAGAAGCAGCAGCAGCACCACCACCAGAGCAGCCCACTCAGGGGCATCAGCATGTGCCCAGTGGAAGCAGAAAGCCCAGTAGAGGCAGTTGGAGTCTTTGCAGAGGAGGATAGGATGGTTGGGGGGTGGGGTGGAACCACAGTGTATCTGTATGATGAGGGGAGTCTGCGTTCTCACTGGCTCCTCTTACATCCCTCCAAGCAGCAAATAAATTGCCCCCAGGACTGAGAACTGTGAGTCACCGATTCTGAACTCTACCTGGAAAGCCCAACAACAAAAAGATTTTCTTACCCCCTCACCTCTACCCCAACCTTAAGCTTTTCTTAGGGTATCCTTTTTGCCTTTGACCTGGGAACACTGGTAGGGGCAGAGGGATAGAAAAAAAAAGTGTTGAGGATGGGCTGTTAAGACCTTGAGATCAAGGTTTAATTGTTAGAAAATTACCCAGGTGAGAATTATTGGGTTCTTCTCAAATTCCTAGGCAGTGGGAAATCTCTTTTCTTTCATATAAAAGGGTAGGGAAGGTTATAAATAAAATTTGGAGTGGACTGAACTGGGCTTAGGGCAAAGTAGCTCAGTGAAGAATTGAGGATTGCATGTGATAGAAAAGATAGTTTTCCTCAGGTAGCAGGAGTTTAGTGGGGGTGAGGGTGGTGCATGAGGGAAGTAAGGTAGGGGAGGAGAAGAGGTTGGGAGAAGTTTTAATTCTCCTGGGCAGAAAACTGGGGCAATTAACCCCCAGAAGCACCAGAGTTGCTTTTAAGAGAGCAATGGGGCAGAGTTGGGGGAAGGGATTCAGGTGAAATTGGCAAGGAGCTTGTGCTTTGCCTCTGCAGCCAAAGGGCTGCACAGAAGACGGGAAAGCCAATTAGGAGAATAGACGTGGGGAAAATCAGGAACTGGGGAGGGGAAAAGAAAGGGAAAAACAGAAAAAATCGTTTAACCCTTGCAGAGACGCCTCCTTCCTGAGCATTAAGATCCTGGCTAGAGGAAGGGTGTGTGTTTGGAGGGTGGGAGGCTGTGGAGCAGAGATAAGGGGTAGAGAAGAGGGGCGTGTGGGAGGGAACAAGAAGAAGGAGCAGTTACATGATCTCAGCCCCCAGCCCACCCCTGAGGCGGTCTGTAAATCGTCGGCCCTCGTCCCTTGGCTCCATCAAACGTCCCTTTGGGCGAGGAGCGAGGGCCGGAAGAAGGGCAGGTCCAGGCCGGTGAGTGGCCTCGCCTTCTCCTCCTGTTTCTCCTCTGGGCCGCTGTCGCCCTCCTCCTCTTGCTCCGAGTCTGCCCGCTGCCGCTGATGCTGCTGTGGCGGCGGCGGCGACTGTTTGTCGGCGTCCAGGTGTCTCCGGGGTGGGGGCTGCTCCGGCTCGTCCTCTGGCTGCTGCTCGCCGTCCGGCGCGGCCAAGACTCCCGGCTTCATGATCCTCCTCCTCCTCCTCCCTCCCGGGGGGCCGGCCCTGAGCCCCCGCGCCCGGGCAGCGCTGCCATGCAACCAGAGGAGAGGCAGGCGTAGTGGTGGGGGCGGCTGGGGAGTGAGGAATGGGGGTAATAAAAAACGAAATAATACTAGTGGAATAAGAATAATTCGGTTATCAAATAATCAGGAAAGAGTGCTTCTGGAGCGGTGAGGGCAGAAGACGGTGGCTGCCGGGTCTTCACGGCAGCTCTTCCCCCGCTACCCCCACCAAAGGCGGCCTCGGTCGGCTCTCTGCGCCCCCTGCCCCTCCCTCTTCTCCGCTGCCTCTGGCTGGTTGGGCTCGCTATTGCCACCTCTCCTCTAGATGCAACGAGGTAAGGCTTGTTTGCGGTGCCAGCTGAGGGTGGGGAGGGGAAAACGAAGCAGAGTGGCTGAAGTGGCAGGCAGCCAGCACTTGGCTCCGGCTTGGCCCTCGCGACTCCCCGAAACCATATATAAATGTATCTCTTATAAAAGGCGAGAGGAAGCAAATCAGATTCCAGGCTGCTGCCAGATGTTGTCTTGTCTTCAGCCGTTGCTCAGCACCCGCCGCCGCAACTGCTGCCCCCCTGGTTCAGTTCCCAAAGGGGTGGTGCTGGAAGGGAGGTGGCGGGCGGCGAGCTGACCGTCCGAGGTCTGGAAACAAGGTTCTTGGAGCAGAAAATGTTCTCAGCGTCTCCGCCGCCGCTGCGGCCGCCGCTGCTGCATTCAGCACCCCGGGCGAGTGGACAGCTCCCACCCAGCTGCTGCGCGTCACGGAAGTGGGGGCCTGACGCAGACGCCGGGGAGGGATTGAGGAGGGAAAGGGGACGAGAGGCAAAGAGGCTAGAGAGAGAGGGAGAGAAAGGAGGAGGGAAAACTGTTCGAGGGAAGGGGATGGGGAGGGACCAAGGGAAAGACAAGGAAGAAGGAGGGATTTAGGGAGGAAGGGAGGAGGGAACAAAGTGATGGAAGAGGGAGAAAGGCAAGTGGGATGGAGGGGAGTGAATCAGGTACCAACTCGAGCATTTTCCCAGAGCTGGAGGGATAGTGGATAGTACCGCTGTAGAATTTCTTCCCACTGTACACTATCACTGCCCCCTTCAACGCATACAAAGACTTCTACATCCCAGCCAGAGTCCTTTTCCCTGCTCATATGAACATTTTAAGCACATATCAGTCTGCAAACTTTGGAAGAGATAAAGTTTTGTGATTCTTGCACTAATGCTGGGACTTGATGGAACTAAGTTATGAGAAGAAAATATTTCTGACAAGGAGAGGGATGCTAGCACTATTTTTGCCGGTTTCTTCTAGAATTTGTGCTCAAAACGGCAGGGTTTTGTTTTTTGTTTTTTTTTTTTTTTTTTTGTCCATTTAAACCCTTTGTGCTTATGTCACTGATGGCATGCAGTAGGTACTCAATATATATTTGCTGAATGGATTATGACTACCATCACCAAAGTCATTATTACTTCAAGCCATAGGCCTCTTTCAATTGTAATCGCAAGAATCCAGAGCAAAATTATAGTCCCATCTTAACCAATATCTCCAGCCTCCCCTCTATTTGAGTCTTTCACTGAGCCACTGACAAGAAGTAATTTGAAATGGATGCTAATTTCTTCTCTTATTTCTACTTCTGACTTAAGTCATCCTACCCCATCTTTCTCAATGAGTTGCTAGTGAACAGAAAAGTGTCTCTAAATGTGAAGAAAAAGAAGAAAATTTAAAGTGGTCTGTACAGCAGTGGAGGGTGTAGCTCAGTGGTAGAGAGTGAGCTTAGCATGCACTGCACAAGGTCCTGGGTTCAATCCCCAGTACCTCCATTACAACAAACAAACAAACCTATTTACCCCCCCAAAACCCAAAAATAAACAAATAAAATATTAAAAAAAAAATAAAGCAGTCTGCACAATTACTTAGTACTTGCAGCTGTAGACCCTGATCATTTAAAATTTAGGATTACTTTTTTGCTTTTCCTCATAACCACTCTCCACACACACACCACACACACACACACACACACACACACACACATGCACGCATACATAACTTCAAGGTCATGGACTTGGACAAGCTATCCCAATGAGTCATCTACACTACTTTAGAAATGTTAGAGCTGCAGACAGAGTAGCATGCAAAAATCTCTGCACCAAAATATCATTGGCATGAAGTTCAGCCCTATGAATCATAAGAAAAGTACCCTTTCCTGCCATTTCCTTCAATGATTCATTCCTACAAACTCTAAGGAGCAAGGACCTGAGTCTGGGTCTTGGCTAACCTAGAGTGGCTACTTGTTTGAATCATGTCTCAGCACCCACCATGGATGCTAACACCTAGCCCAAGGTGAGTGGTTAAAAGAAGATTGTGATGTTGTTACTAACTGTAAAATAATATGTATTTTATTGATATCAGTGTGACTACTGTGCTGCAAAAGAGATTTTCTCTGCTTAAAAAAATCTATCTGCTTGCAAAGAAAATTCTCCACACTCCACATCACCCTGTGCTTGCCTCTGACACTGTACAAATGCCACTCTATAATAATGATCTCATCATACATTCATCTCCCTTTACAAGACTCAGAGCTCCTTGAAGGCAAGGACCAGTATTTATATTTGAATCATCAGTACATAATGCAGAGCCTAAAGTCTAGTGGGTGATCAAGAAAATGAGCACTGAATGAATTAATGGCCTTTTTGTTTCAATGAAGCTACATATATCTCCTCTTCAACTTAGACATACACATGTGAATACTCTCGTACATGACTGAATATCTGCATTACCTAAAATGGAGTTTCAGGGTTTTATGCCAACAAAATACTAGTTCCAAGTGTGTCATGCAAGTAAACTGGGGCAGGAGACAGAAAAGTCATATGAGGCTTGGATTCAGTCTTTGAAAAGGAGGATATCCATAAGAAGACTCTCTTTTCCAACCCTTCCACTGACAGCAAAAGATTTCTAGAAGCAGAAGGCTTCTAAGGATGGGAAGCTACTACAGGACTGTCTTTTAAAAAATACTGGAAAGCTTGGGAGTTCGGTTTTGAATATAATGTAAATCTTGGAAGGTGCCTCACTGAGTTAGATTCTCCTTATACTGATGATGAAGCAGTGGTTGTGAGTCCCAAGAATAAAAGCCATAAATCAATGGGTCTCCATGTAAGCATTCAAAAGATATTTACTAAACCTTAATCATAGGCAAAGCATTGTGTTGGAAGATGTGGGAAACACAAAAATGAATTGGTTAGAATTGCATCCTTTAGGGTATAGTACTATAACTATGTATATAATCATAATATAAGGTATAAAATAATAAATGCTAAAAGTTTTGAGAGTATTTAGAATAAAGAAGTAATTAATGCTTATACCTTGGCAGCAATTAGGAGAGGTGGAGGGAGGTGGAGATGCCAGAGCTCCAGGAAAGCCTTTTTCAAGAAGAGACATTGAACTGAGTTAATATGTAGAATTTAGGGGAAAGAAGTATATTTCTGACAATGGGGATGCTGACTACTTTAGTTCTTCCATTTGACTGGAGTGGAAGGTATTTGAAGGTAAGTAGCTGGAGGTAAAGTCCGAAAGGTAGGCTGAAGCCAGAATACAGATGGCCCTGAACGCCACTCTGGGAGAAGACTTATTCATTGACCAGGTACTTGTTCTAATGGTTTTAAAGATTTGGAGCTGAAGGTGAAGGGCAGAAATAAACTTTATCTCTGAGCAGGTTAATTAACTGGATGGGATTTCACTGCTAACAGGTGAGAAGCAATCAATATTTTTCATTTCACGCCAGAAAGTTCTCAGCTTCTTAATAGATTTATTCTTTTAAATGAGGTTGTTTTCAGATATATTTCATTACATACAGAGATGCTGTGGTCATGTGAATTAGAAGAGTAGATGAATGAGAGGCTCCAAAAAATAGTCTTCAGGAGGAAATATTAAGAGATGCAAAGTTCCAGCAAAGACTCATTAGTGAGCACATTGCACTTGTTTCATCAACCAGGAAAGCCCTTAAGGGATCCATGCTAGTAGATACTGTTTCTTTTCCTAGACAGAGAGTACTCAGGCTAGAAGGCATTTTACAGAGGCTGAGGGGAAAAAACGGTCCTGAAAGATTAGGTGACTCTATGCCTAAGATTCCCCCAACAATGGGCTGGAATTTATACACTTTCTAATCCTCAATACAGTTTGCTTTCCACTAATTCACAGTTGACTCTCTTTAAGCATATGGTTCCTCAAGAATCATTGCAGAATTACTGTTGTCATGCAAAATATTAATAGCTACCATGTTCTGAGCCACACACTGTTTTCATATGTACTTATTAAAAATAGAAATTCTTATGTGCCACCCCAAGTCTACTGAATATTAATTTCTTGGAGAGCAACCTGAGAATCTGCATTTTAACAAGTGCCTTGCCCAAGTGACATTTTGATCCTCAAAACTCCTTAGGTGGTAGGTTTTATCCACTTTTTTTTTAGACAAGAAAACCAAGGCTTATAGAAACTAAGTCTAAGGTTATATACAGTTGGTGAACACCAACACTGAGATTCTAACAGTGACCTCTCTCACCCTAAGTGTATGCTCTTCTTATGATGCAACGTTGCCTTTTAAATGAAATTTCCTGGTGCCACATAGGATCCTCACACAGTTATTATCTGTTTTCCATACTGTGTTCCATGTCAAAATGTGGTTCAAAACTCAGGCTAAGTTGTGGTAGGTGGCTTCTAAAAGAGGGTGTTAATGATCCTCACCTCCTGATACTAATGCCCTTGTGTAATCACCTTCTTTGGAGTGTGGGCTGAAACTTGTGACGTGTTTCTAATAAATAGAATACAGTCAAAGTAATGGGATGTCACTTCAGAGATCAGGTTACAAAAGACTGTGACTTTCATCTTATTCTCATTCTCTCTCTGGCTCTTCTCATCTACTTCCCCTGATGGAAATCACATACCACATTGTGAGCTGCACTGTGGAGGGGCCCATGTGGCAAAGAACTGAGGGTGGACAGCCTCCAGCCAACAGCCAGTGAGGAACCAAGGCCCTTGATTCAACAGTCCTCAAGGAAATGAATCTTGCCAACAATCACATAAGTGAACTTGGAATCAAATCCTTCCCCTGTTGATCCTTAAGATGATGGCAGCCTTGGCCAACATCTTAATTACAGCCTCATGAAAAGCCTAAGGCAGAGAACCCAGCTAGGCCATAGCTGAATTTCTGACCTATTGAAACTGAGATAAATGCAGTTGTTTCAAGTCTTCTGTACACTATCACAGCTTTCATGCCAAACACACATAAACAGTGACACCTACGTGACATGTCTCAACTAGAGTCTGTTTCCCTGCATTTAAGCATTTTGAGCAGAAATTCACCTGCAAGCTTTGGAAGAGATAAAGTTTTGAGAATCTCTCATTGAAGCTGGAGACTTGGTGGTGACTAAGTCCCTCATGACTAAGAAGTCATGAGAAGAAAATGCTTCAAACAGGGAGTGAGATGCTAACAATATTTCCTTCCATTTCCTCTTCTAGAATTTAAGCTCCATGAGGCAGAGGGTTCTTTGTTTTGTTTTGGTTTTTTGGTTTCTGGTACATTTTGATCCCATATGCCTAGGTCAGTGATAGCATGTATTAGGTGCTCAATACATATTTGCTGAACAGATTATGACCATCCTCGCCATCAGCACAGTCACCATTACTCAAATCTATAGACCTCTTTCAGTTGTGGAGTATAAGAATCTAAAGCAATATTACATCCCCATCTTAACCAATATCCCAGCCTCCTCCTTATCCAAGCCATTTATGGATAGGGAGTAATTTGAAATAGATTTTAATTTTCTCTCCCATTTCTGCCCCTGACTCATGTCGCTCTACTCTATTCTTCTCTAGGAGTTTCTAGCGA